TGGGTGGGACAGGACAAGTTTCCCAGAGGAAGTAAAATCTAGCTAAAATCCAAGGTATGATTAGGAGCTAGCCACTTGAGAGAAGGGGCAAGTGACTGAATTTTCATACCACTTCACATATATTTTTCAAGAAAATGCTCGACAGTACCTGGAGGCACAATTAAGCAGGAAGAGGAGGCGTTTTTACTATTCCCTCAGTAACACCTTTCATTCTAAACCTTCCATCTAACCCGCTAGACTTTTCCCAGGGCTTCCTCATTATAGCCCTGAATTCTGGGTACTCTCTGCTGAGGTCTGCCTGTCTTGTCTTGTCTTTTTATTTTGTTTTGTTTTTTTGAGATGGAGTCGCACTCTGTCACCAGGCTGGAATGCAGTGGCGCGATCTCGGTTCACTGCAACCTCCACCTGCCAGGTTCAAGCAGTTCTCCTGCCTCAGCCTCCTGAGTAGCTGGGACTACAGGCACCCGCCACCATGCCCAGCTAATTTTATGTATCTTTCATAGAGACGAGGTTTCACCATATTGGCCAAGCTGGCCCCTAACTGCCGACCTTGTAATCTGCCCGCCTCAGCCTCCCAAAGTGCTGGGATTACAGGTGTGAGCCACCGCGCTCAGCCTGCCTGTCTTTTCAAGGGGAGGGGGCAGATGGATACATGGTTAGGCTCTCCGTCAAGGCCCAGCAGGGCTGAGTTCTCCATATAGCTGCTGTTTCGGTCAGCTAAGTTTCAGAGGGTTGTCCTTCCTGGAAGTTAATTTTAGGGGCAAGGAAATGATTTCCTTATTCCCTATCTGTCTTTACTACCCTGTTCTACCCTGTCATCCGACATGTCCTCTAGGCCAGGCCCCATTCCCTGGAGTTAGAGATGAATAAAATTCAGGCCGTGCCCTCCAGAACCTCATGGCCTCGGGCTGCCTCTGCTTTAATCTCTCCTCTCCTTTCTCAGGCTCCTGGAGTCCATGATCCCTATCAAGATGGTCAACTTCCCCCAGGTGAATAGGGGGTGGCACGTCTGGAGAGCGGGGGGAAGCACCAGGGCAGAGGGTGGGACCACCAGGCAAATCCTGGGAAGCCATAAACAGACGAGCTGTTGTACCCTCCAGCCTGAATGAGTTGGTATATTGACAGAAAATTGCAGGTGAACTCTATGGACCTCTCATGCTGGTCTTCACACTGGTTGCCATCCTACTCCACGGGATGAAGACGTCTGACACTATTATCGTAAGCAGGACAGACAACTTTGGGGGGGGTGGCTGCACTAGGTTGAAAGCTGCCTGAGGATGCGGTGGTGGAGTGAGACAGGAACCGCCCCTGCGGAAGGCCCTAGGTGAGGCTGAGATCAGAGGCCTCCTAGGACTAAGTAGAGCCTTCACCCCACAGCGGGAGGGCACCCTGATGGGCACAGCCATTGGCACCTGCTTCGGCTACTGGCTGGGAGTCTCATCCTTCATTTACTTCCTCGCCTACCTGTGCAACGCCCAGATCACCATGCTGCAGATGTTGGCACTGCTGGTAAGGAGCCAGGCGTGGTGGGCAAGAGTGATGTTAAAAAGAGTAGCCAGGCCTTGGTCTGCATCTGTCCTGGGGCCCCGAAGCCTGGAATGGGAGGAGTAGGCCAATGGACCGTGTGTTTCCCACGGTCCCCATGAGAGGCCAGAAACCAGCCCAACCTGAGTGATTCCCCTCTCCACCATCCTCCTTCCCAGGGCTATGGCCTCTTTGGGCACTGCATTGTCCTGTTCATCACCTATAATATCCATCTTCACGCCCTCTTCTACCTCTTCTGGCTTTTGGTGGGTGGACTGTCCACACTGCGCATGGTAAGCTGGGCAAGAGGCTTCCAGGGGTGGGCTGTCCTCCCAGGGAGTTGGGGAAGACAGCCTGGAGCTGTCCATCTCACAAAGAGCCCTAAATGGGAGGGAAGGGCCCAAAGATGGTTCTGCCCTGGGTGGGAGTGTCTTCCCCACTCCTCACTTTGGAGCCAGGCCCTTTGAGCTGTATTCTCATGGCCCTAGGTAGCAGTGTTGGTGTCTCGGACCGTGGGCCCCACACAGCGGCTGCTCCTCTGTGGCACCCTGGCCGCCCTACACATGCTCTTCCTGCTCTATCTGCATTTTGCCTACCACAAAGTGGTAGAGGGTAAGTGGCAGGAAGGCCTAGGTGGGGGAGAATGGGACAGCAGCTGCCTAGGGCAAGAAGCTGGATATCATGGTCAGTGGGCTGGACCCATCTGACCCTTGCTCACCTTCCATCTTCCTTCCAGGGATCTTGGACACACTGGAGGGCCCCAACATCCCGCCCATTCAGAGGGTCCCCAGAGACATCCCTGCCGTGCTCGCTGCTGCTCGGCTTCCCACTACCATCCTCAATGCCACAGCCAAAGCTGTTGCGGTGACCCTGCAGTCACACTGACTCCACCTGAAATTCTTGGCCAGTCCTCTTTCCCACAGCTGGAGAGAGGAGGAAGACTATTAAAGGACAGTCCTGATGACATATTTCTTAGATGGGGTCTGCAGCTGCCACTGAGCTGTAGCTGCGTTAAGTACCTTCTTGATGCCTGTTGGCACTTCTGAAGGGCACAAGGCCAAGAACTCCTGGCCAGGACTGCAAGGCTCTGCAGCCAGTGCAGAAAATGGGCCAGCTCCTCTGAGACCCCTCACCACCTACCCCTTCCTTCCTCTTTATCTCTCCCACACTGTCTTGCTAAATATAGACTTGGTAATTAAAATGTTGATTGAAGTCTGGAACTGCAGCGGCTGATCCAGTGGTCCTCCCTGTCATCCCACTTACTATATACTTTCATGCTTAGTCAGCAATGGTAATGTCGTATGTTCCCTTTTTCATATCCTCACCCAGACAGGATAAAGGTGGGACAGGCCAGACTACATAGAAGGCAGTGCTTGAATATGGAACCTACCCCTGAGGGCAGGGGACACCTGACCCATGAAGCGGCAGGGAGGCCTCAATCACAAAAGCCATAAGCCTGATGGAACACTGCAGTCAGCTTGAGTCTGGGCTCAGCTGCACTCTTGGGAAGCCAAGGAAGCAGTGACAATTGGACAAAACATCCCGACTTAAACCCCGTGTCAAAACAAGGATCTTCTGCTCCTGGGCATTGTGGGGATAATTTTCCTGTGGAGCTCATAATTGAAGCCAAACTTGGCTTTGCCCTGGTGGTACTGGGGCCAGCTCCTTTCAGTTTTTCTGTCTTTCCTCATAAAACCAACCACCACTCCTAACAGCACCATCCACCCCCCACACCACCACCTCTTTAATCTGCTCCACTTAATTCTGGTGGCTAAAAGAGGGAATACGGTCTTTGACCTTCCTTCACTATATTGAATATTATGTTTTATGTACAATAATCTCCTTACACTAGTAAATCTGGGTCAGCAGCCTCTATCCCTCCTAACAAAGGGACTAACAGAAAGAGGGGCCCTTCATTTGTCCTGCGTTACACAAGTGAGGCCCTCACCACCCTGGCCAGTGGACAAAGTTGCCACAGTACCGCCTGCACCGTGGGGTGTGACTCAGCTGCCTTCACGTCCTCACCAGTGCTCCAGGGCTCTGGCCCTGGTACCTCCTCTGTATTGGCAGCCCCAGTGTCGTGGCAGGGACACACCCTCAGATGTCAACAGTGCCCTGCATACCTGGAAAAGGCGTGGCACCAGGACCTTGCATCTATCTGAGGCTTCCCTGCCCTAGGGACCCTCTGGGGTTCGCTTCTCTCCAGCAGCTCAGGCTGGCTCTGCCCAGCCGTGGCCCCCGGGGCCTCCCTGGTGAGGCCGCCATCTTGGCGAGAAGCAAGTGGGAAGTCCCCGTGGACCGGGATCCCCATGCACGCTGCTTCTCGAGTCACGAGGGCAGGGCGAGGCGCGGCACGGAAGAAAGGGCCCTGGGGCCTTCGAAATAGGAAGGAACAGTGCCCTGGATCCCGGCGAGGGCCTGGACCTTAGGAACGGGGAAGGATGGGAGAATGGGCAGAAGAAGCAGTAACCGTGTCCAACACCACCTCCACATGGCGTGCCTCCATTCCGCTCCCCGTCAGCCCTCCCCAGTCAGCCCATCCTAGGCCTCAGCCCTGTCGCCTTCCTTCTGCTAGCTAGCTGACCCCACT